GTATTTTAATATTAACTGAAAATTCCTATAAAAGGAGCTTTTTGAGTTAAATACAAACCAAAAAGCGTGCAGTCTTCTTGAAAAGCTTTATCATGAGGATCTGAAGTTCTTAATTGCAGTAGTCATTTAATCAAAGAGAATCAGCTATGTAAGTTTCAAGTTGTTGATGCATTTCATTAAATCTGAGGTTTGCTTCTCACTCCCTTACAAAGACATATGACTATTTCTGAATATCAGTCTTGAAGAGGGTTTTCTTGTAGATCAACTAGAAACAATAAGAAAAAAACATTTTTTGCTATAGCTTCAATAAAGTCAACAGGTTAAAACTTGAATGCTTTTGATATGCTATGTTTCCAAGAAATATTCTTGTATTTTTTGTTGAAATATCTGATCCTTATTCAGACTTTGATATTTACATTATTGTTTTTTTCTTCTGCCACTTAATTTCAGATAAAGTCTCGTCAATAAACAATCACAGATTTACTTGGAAACATTCAGGTAATTTGGCAATTTTTATATCTGCTCTGTCATTATTCCCAGAAGTGTTGCTGACATCAAGAGAAATGAATTCCAAGAGTTCTGCTGGCAGTGGAGTCTCTATAGGTAGGAAGAACTCCCATTATATGTTACCAGGAAAATTCACCTTACACAGATAAATACTGTGATAAAGATAAGCATCTAAAACGGGAAAGGTGAATTGCCCTGTGAAGATACATTTCCCCACTGACTGCTGAAAAAGTATGGCAAATTTAAACACACAGACTTTTCTGAAGCCAAAATTAGACTGATCCTATTCCTAAATATTTTAATATTCAATGTTTTTTAACTTCAAACATCGAGTAATATCCTCATATATTGAAGCTTCCAAATGCCACATCTTTCTTTGGCAATTCTTGGATTAACTGGTCCTGCAGTAAGGCAGTAAAAAAACCCAAACTATATAATAAATAGTGGTATACCCAGGTTATTGATAGGAGCCTGAGTATTGAATCTGGCTAAGATATGGGCAAGCTCTTGAGTGTCCAACCTCTGGTATTCTAATTTTTTCCTGTTTGTATTATTTATGACTGAACTATTCCTGCTACTCGTATCATAACTGCTTATAAAATACTGAATACAAAACTAAGTCTCTTTTTGTTCTGCATAACAGAAAGAGAAGTCTCTAAGACACAGCTCTGTCAATGGCACATTAATTAGAAAGGCTTTAGGAGTGCTGTATATATAGCATGTACAGGACAACCAAGGGGTCAGGCCCAGAGCAGGGTGGTGAGCGGTGGCCCAGGGATCAGAGCTGGGTACAGCCCTGTTTAACATCTTTTAATATGTTTAATATTTGTATCCATCATCTGGATGGGGGATCGGGTGCACCCTCACCAAGCTCACAAGCAACACTAAGCTGGGCAGGAGTGTTGATCTGCTGGAGGCCAGGGAGGCTCTGCAGAGGGGTCTGGGCAGCTTGGATCAATCAGCTGAGGCCAGGGGTGTGAGGCTGAAGGAGGGGAAGTGCCAGGTCCTGCACTTGGGTCACAACAGCCCCATGCAGGGGCTACAGGCTGAGACAGAGTGGCTGGAATGTGGCCCAGAGGAAAAGAACCAAGGGGCACTGATCAACAGCAGTTTATCATGAGCCAGGAGTTGCCCAGGTGGCCAAGAAGGCAAGTGGCATCCTGGCCTTTATCAGAAACAGTGTGGCCACAGGACCAGGACAGCGATCATGCCCCTGCACTGGGGAGCATTGCACTGATCTGGAAGCTACATTGGTGCTTAGAACTGAAATGAGCCCAAAATGTTAATTTTGCAAACAGATTGGAGGAGAAATGGCAGAGCTTATGAAAAAATGCCACCACATTACTAGAAAACATCAATAAAAGCATGGGATACATTGATTAAACAAAACAGAAAGGACAGTGCTGAGTGCCAAAGGTGACAGACAGATTAAGATGGATGAAACATGAATTACACTCCAGATTTAACAAACAAGTCACCTGTGACCTTACAGCAGTTCAATGAGCCCAATCACCAGAAAGAATTTTGGAGATCAGTGAAAGTGTGGGTGGACAGAAAGTCAAGACAGTATAAAAATATACCACTAAATATTTTGAAAGAACTGAAGACAGACTGTAGGACTGCAGCAAAAGGGCAATAAATCTTGTGAAGAACACATTTCAAATTCAATTTCTGAAGTGTTTACTTTCAATTAAGAGAAATTGGAGCAGTTTAAAAGAAACAAAGAGGGAGTTAGGAACAGTGGCAAGTGTACGTGATTAAGTCAATGAGAAAGGATGGTGATATTAAGCAGCAGAAAGTATAAAGGAGATTTCTAATTCACAAAGAGATGAAAAAGATTGTCAAAAAGAGTTTACAGCTATTTTAAGCCCATATATTTGATCACAATCAAGATAGCTCTTTAACATCTTCACTTTAACATCTTCCTCTGACATTTAAAGGAAGCAATGAATTTTCAAAAAGCATTGCTTTAAATTCCTAAAGGAGAAATTTTAATATAATTCACTCTTACCTTTTTATCCTTACCATCTGGAAACATTTACAATCCCTAAGAAATGCTATCAGGAACAAAAAAAACCCATACACACAAAATCCAGGCTTCATACAGGCTCCTCCAAACCAGGAAGTCACAGCAAATTGGGAAGGATTTACTAGTAGCACTTTACTTTATGGAGTTTCTTTTCAGGATTGAGTGGCAAGCTGTTACTCCAGAGTGAAAGAGTAAGAGAAAGAATGAGATGGAATCATAGTTTTCCTTTTCATATATCCTGGTTTTATCTTAAATTACTTGTTCAAGAGTAAGAAAGAAGTTAAAAGCAAAGCCTTATGACTAGATTAAGCACTCCTTTCGCATACCAGACTTTCACCTTGTATTTTCAATGTTATGTGAAGTCAAAGCTCTCTGGAACAGGAAGACTGTTTATACAAGTCTAAAGCAGCAGACATGCTGTACCTGCTAACGTTCAGCCCTTGGCAGGATGGCACCAACGTTCTGCTCTGAGCGAGCCTCCTGTGGCACACAGAACCCACACAGGGCAGAGATGCTGCCTGTGAGCTCTGCGCAGCCCCGCGTTTGTAACAGAGCCGAGACACAACCAGGCCCTGCTGCCCCATCCCACAACTGCCAGCTCAACTTCTCTTCTTCACATATAACTTATCAAATTTTCTTTTAGTGTTGCATTTCTTTCCAGTTATTATAAACTCTAACATTCACATGTAAACACCCCTCTACCCCCCCTCCCACTCCACCGCCATTAACTCTGAGGCTAAAGAAAAGATAATCTTGCCTCTATACAAGGAATTCATGCTATAGCTTTGGATTCCTTTATTCCCCCATCCTCTATCAACCAGACAGTTTAAATAAACCCACAGAAATTAATCCCTTTTAAAAAGCACTTTTTATCTAACAGAAAGCAAGTTAAAATCAAAATATTAATTTTAAAATATTAATGAAAATTATTATTTAAGCCATCATTGTATTTTAAAATCCAAATCAAAGCTATCATTCCACCTGAAGTGGCAAAAGAAAAATTAGAGAGGAAAAATAAACTGAACTTTAAGATATGAGAAACTAAATTGCTGCTGATAACACTCTATTATTATATTTAATTCAAGCTATCTGAATGAAACTTGCATATGAAATTAATAGGTGGAGCCAGCAAGCCAGATCACAGAAGATAAAACAGCTCCTTTGGATTGCAGTTGTTTCTTGTTTTTGTCTTCACACATATAAAGAGTATTGGTCTTAACACCCTCCTGAACAGTTTTACCTTTTGTGGCCAAGCAGTCAGTACAAGGAACCCATAAAGCCGAATATAATTTTTGGAAAACAAACGCTGATTATTACAACAAATCAGTTTAGCAAGAGTACTCTATTCATAGGGTGGGACTACCCGTGAAACTGATTTTATACAGTTTAAAGAAATTGACTCATGACAGAACACTGTTGTTCGATTCATAAATGCTTTGTGTCAGGGGCCTCTCAATGCCTCATTATTATTACTGAACTTATATAGCAAGCTACTGTCACGCTAATAAAATGGTCTGGGGAATGATGCGCACCAGAGGCTTGATCTTCAGCAGCTCATCACGCAGCTTAAGTTAATGGCAATTGCAGGCACTCGGGTTCAGACGAGGATACTGCATTACACGATTTTCCCTGGCTGTTTGTCTCACTGTCAGATGTCTCTGAGGTCTCAGCATCGCCTCAGCTGCTGCTGGATGGACTTCCAGCCTGTGACAGCCCAAACTCTGCCCCCATTAGCTGTCTCTGCCTGCTAATTGCCCCTAATCCAGGCAGCGGGAACGCCTCTTGCTTTCAAGTGAGGAAACGCCCCACACTGGGTGGCGCGTACACAACACAACTATTAAAATACAATTATACTTCAGGGTGAGGAAGGAATCACTTGTGGCAAGAGAAGGTTATGAGATAAGGAAATTCAGGCCTGTCCCAGTGATTAAATAAGATACCGAAGATACCAAACGGGCAGCACAAGAACATCACACCCTGCTATGACAGAAGATAAAGCAGTAGAAGGTCTAGGGACAATACCGGACCACAAACAAACAAAAGTTTTCAAACGTCGTCTATTGCTATCAACGCTTTCCTCAGAGCTCCACGTCCAAGGCGCAGCCCCTCAGGAGGCACTACCTGCCCCCTTACGGCTCCTGACACACAGAAGGAGCCCCTCAGGGCCCCTCGGCTCAGGACACCCAGGCAGCGCTGAGGGGAAGCTGTGCCCCGCTGGGGAACGCCGCCCTGGGCCACAGGCTGGGGACACGTCCCTGCACGGACAACGGCGCGGAGAGAGGCGAGTGGTGTCCTCCGCGATCAGAGGAAGAAGGGTCTCCATGCCGCACGCCCCTCCGTGACGGCACGCAGCGGGCTAAAGGGACAGAGGGCGGGAGGAGCACTGGATCCCGCGCCAGCGCTGCTCGGAGCTGGGGGGGAAAGCCAGGGCGCCCCCTCCATCTTGAGCCCCACACCGACTTACCCGCCCGGAGCCTCCGCGCGCTCCTATTGGCTGAGGCCGCCCCGGCCGCGTCACGTGGGCAGGGCAAGCCCCGCCTCTTCCCCTGGCCGGTGCCGGGCCCGAGCCGTTGGCGGGGAGGGCCGCGCGTGCTGCCGGTGCGGCGCGTGCGCACGCGCGGGGAGGGGGGGGGGAAGGGGGAGCGGTGGGGCGCGCGCCGCTGCGCGTGCTGCTGCGCGTGCGCCGGCGGCGGAGCGGCGGGAGGGGCGCGAGGCGGTTCCGGGAGCGCGGGAAGAGGGGCGGGAGCGCGGGGCGCACGCGCCGGCGGCGGGCGGGAGCGAGGGCGGAGGGGGCGGAGGCGCCGCCGGTGCCGCCCCGCAGGAAGCGGAGCCGCCCGGGCCCCGCTCCGCGACAGGGCGAGGGAGGGAGCGAGCGAGCGGGAGAGAGGCCGGCAGCGAAGCGTCGTTTTCGGCCGCTGTGCCACCCCGGGACGCCGCTCCGCGAGGACACCGGCCGGGAGCCTGGAGCGGGGTAGCCTCCGCCCCTCCCTGCATCAGCCCCGTCCTGCGAGGCGGGACGTGACCGCTCCCCGCTGCCCGGCGCCCTCCCAGCGGAGCCGTGACCCTTCCTCCGGCTCCGCCGCCGCCCGTCCCGAGGAGGGAGCCCGGCACTTGTTGCTGCCGCGATGGTGACCGGCCCGGCCGAGTAGGGACCGCCGAGCCCGCCGGGGAGAGCAGCGCCGAGCCCGGCCCCGTGCGGGGCATCGCGGGGTGTTGTCTCCCCGCAGCGCCCGGCGCTGACGGCGCTTCCCGGGCCACGCCAAGACTTTGGTCTCCGCGTGGGAATCGCGCCCGGCATCACCGCCCGCGCCAGGTGGTCCCGGCGGGCGCAGGGGACACCGCCGCCCGCCCCATCCCTCGGCGGCAGCCAAAATGTCCTTCTTCAACTTTCGTAAGATCTTCAAGCTGGGCGGCGAGAAGAAGAAGAAACAATACGAGCACGTCAAGAGGGATTTGAACCCTGAGGAGTTCTGGGAAATCATAGGAGAGCTGGGCGACGGTGCTTTCGGTAAAGTGTTCAAGGTAAGGGCGGGCTCGTGTTCCCATAGCTGGGAAGTGACTCGGAGCGCTGTTCCTGCCTGCGGCGCTGCCTCGGCCGCCCCGGCTGCCGGCCCCGCGCCCGGCGTTCCTGCTGCCGGCAGCGCCGAGCGCGGCACGGCTCGGCCGGGGCGCCGCAGGGAGAGCGGGGCATCCCGGCGCCTCTTGGCCACGGAGCCTCGTGAAACTAAAGATAGAAAAGACCTATTAGGTCATTGTCCCGCCTTCTGCTCCACCCTGCCCGCTGCTGGATTGCTCACTTCTCTCTGTGTTTTGGGTTTTTCTGGGACTCGTGTACAGTATAGCTCCTGACCTTACAAAGACTGCATTTTCTTAGATCCGAAGTTCATACTTTTTTTTTTTCCACCTGTACGGAAGGAACCCCATGAACAGTAAAACTGACTTCTGTGCTTCATGTGTGTCGTCGCTTTAATGGGCATTCTTCCATCTTGTTCCATGTGGAGTTGAATTAAACAGCTGTGTTCTCTTTGCTTTCCCTGTGTGGTGGAATCCATGTGTTGGATCTCCCAGATTCCCTCAGTTGTTTGCTCTTTAAATCTTCAAGTGTTCTGGTACAAGTAGGGTTTCTAAGGATGCTTATCTAGAATTTATCAAGCCAAGTAGACTACAATGACATAGATACAACCCTGCTAGTGTTTGACAAGAGTACAACTTTCAGGCAAATCTTCAGCTACAGTTGTCCCTTTCTTAAAAGGTGTTAATGCTCCGTGTTTGGTTTGGATAGCGTGGAAAAAACATCCTGATGGATAAGCATGAGAGAATTGGGAACTGACATGAACTGAAGCTCTGGAGCAGGTTCTGGAGACTAAGAAAAAAACAGCACAAGAGGATGGCATTTACAGTGTTTCTGAGAGCTAATTCGGTCAAGAAACATATTTAGAGTACTGCATTTGAGAGTTTGTGAAATCTGGGCACTCATGAAACTTGTGCTACTTTTGGTAGAAGTTATTTTGGGTTCTGTTGTACTGTGGTGGTATCACCTGTTTGTATATTTGAGCAGAAGTGCCACAGTACAGTCAGAATGTTAGGTGGGGTCATTTCACCCGAGGAATTTGTGTCAGTGTTCTATATTAAGAACGTCTAGTTTATTTAGGTGCTGGTGTAATACACGGTCTAGAGGGTGGTTCTTATGTCATTTTTGAAGATTAGAGTTCCGGGTTTTTTTTCTTATATGACTATGAATATGTCTGAAGTTGCTCTTCATAAAGTTTTCTCACCACAAAAACGTAACATCTCTAACAGCGCTTCCAGAGTATTAAAGTTTTAGTTTGAGCTTCATAGTGGAGTTTTGATTCCCGTTTTCTGAAAATATACCTCAGAATACCGAATGTGTTTTCCTCTTCCCCCACGTGCACTTCCCCTCACATCCTCAAACCTCTTCTCACATCATCTGTGGGCATGTCTGTATTAGCAATAGTAGTTGAGTAAGGTGTCTGAGCAAGGCAGCTGGTAAAATTGGCATTTCAGTGTACTCTACACAAACAGGAGAATGTTTTTTACTTGGATGTCATTTTTCACTTCAAGATTTATTTCTGACGGAAATGATAGCGTTCACTGTTGAAATTGATCGTAGGCAGAATTACAGATGTGGTTACTCTGATCAACTCTCTGCTCAACTAATGAGAATTAACGAGCAGTATTCCTGGAAAAAAGAATCCCCATTTAAAAAAAAGAAGTAGGTTACTGCATGTGTTCATCAGCATTCTTTTTGTTTCCATCTAGTTTGAGAAGGAAGCTTACACTCAGATACAAACTGTGCTTGTGTTCCTGCACCTGAGCGTGCTTCCCAAGAAACAGTGTGGAAAGCAGGAAAGGTGGTTAGGTTGTTCTTTCATGGATATACACCTCAAATGAGAAGCTGCAGGAGCAGACATTCAATTCCTTCTCAAAGATTGAATTCAAAACTATAAGACAGAACAAAGCTCTCAAGAATGCTTGAAGACTTTGTCTTTAGGTAATGGAAGTGTGGGGGTTGGGGTTTTCATTTTCTGTAATGGATTTTGTTTTATTTGCCAATCCCCCATTACCCTAGTGTCAATTACATTTGCCAAAAGTACATTTGCCTTTGTTTAAGATCTTGGGATCTGTGTGTGACAGTGTTTTGGCAGATGCATGTTAAAATGGAATTGCCATATAAATAAGTCTTTGTGTACTTTGAATTTCTAAAAAGTAGGTTAGATTGGTTGCATGCTATGATTTTCCATAGAGGGGTAATTGGATTACTTGTGTAACTTATCTTCTGAACAAAGTGTCAAATATTCAAGTAAAAACTCAAAAACCAATTCTTAAATGATTCTGACAGTACTGGGAAGACTTCCTGATTACATGATTTACTTTAAAATGCTGTCCAGTGATAATTAGTTTTGTGTACAGAAGTCTTAAGGTCATTGAAAGCTTGTGATTCATTCTCTTTCTTTGCAATCAAGTACAAAGATCTTGCTTATTTTTTTAATACCTTAGCCAAACTTCTAGAAGAGCTTGTTTCCTTTGAAGCTATTTGTTGCAGCAATCTAAGGCTTTTTGAGTTCTGACAATTCATACATTTGTATTCACGGACTTGTAAGTAATGTTTAGAAATACTCTGTTTCAACTGCTGTTGCAAGTCTCTTGTGATCAGAGGAACTCTGTAATTGCAGGTTACTGATGGCAAAGGTTTATAGCTATGTAGGTCTTTTTATTCTGGCCCTTTTCAGGCTCTTCAGAGAGGCCACTTTTAGGTTGTTTTCTTTTTGCTCTTGGCTAATGAATAATGGTGTGGTTTTCTGTCCTTTTACAATTTATAGATCCTTGCAGTACTTCAGTGTCAGGTGATGGCCCTTGAAGAGAATTTCAAGTTTCCTGATGATAGAATTTTTTCCCAATCTCTTTTATGTGCTTTTCATGGATTATTTAGGATTACTGAGTGGACTGCTAGAGTTCTGACAGACTGGAGAGGCATAATATTAGCACTGGAGGCTGATTTTAACTTTGAAATTTGGCAGTCAGACACAAAAAACTCCTAAAACAAAAGATGGACAGTTTGCAACTGCTCTTGATTTGATTAGGTTAAGTGCCCTGAGAAAACACGGGCTCTTATTGTAATTATAATCAGTTTGCTTTAGAAAGTAGTTACATTATTATATCATGTTGCTGTATTGTGTGTTCTAGTACCCTATTGTGTCAAATCGCAGTCCTGTGAACATTATAAACATTGCTGTAAGGTAGATCAGTGTGTTCATGACTTTCATCAGCTTTAAACTATTTTCTGAATTCCCAGAAGTAAATATTCAGATGATGTGAAAACAGACCTTTCAAATGCCTGATGTGATGTGTGGCTCTTTCTTGCTGCAGATATCTGCATTTTAATTAACGATGTTTGTCTTCCTCAGTTAACCTTTTGAATTAAATAAAGTCTTGGGCGTATATTTCAGTAAAATCTGCCAGCCCCTTTCAGCAGTAAGAACATTGTACACTCAGATCGAAGACTTAACATTGCAGAAAGGCATTTTCATAGTGTCTAGTTGTTGGCATCTCTGAGCCCTTTACTAGTGGATACTTCTTCAAGAAAGTAATGTACTTCCTGCCATGATTATGGTTATTATCGTACCATCTGCATAAGTGTGTCTTCTATGGGAACATTCTATAAAGGTAAAACATATGTGGCACTATACAATATAAGACAGACTATCTCTATATATGTGTATATAGAGACAGTATAGTGTGTATATATATTTTAATTATTACTAAGGAATCCTTTAAACTTGTCTGGCTTGAAATTTCATTCAGTCTTCTTTGTTTGAACTGAAGTGCCCCTTTATAATATCTCATCCATTACACTGAATCTAAGATGTTGGAAGCATTGTGTATACAAAATTGTCATAAGAGTTCAGAAAATAAAATGTAAACTTGATATGAAGTTACTAGCAGAAGTTTTCCAGCTCTGAGCAATTAACTGGTGCTTTGTTAAAAAAAAGAAATCTTTTTTTTTCTTTAGGTTTAGAGAAGAAATGTTATGCAAGCTGATAACCCTAATCAT